GATAATGTAGGGGCCTGAATGATTACGAATACTATTTCAGGGGTTCCTTGTTGTAGTTGTCGTATAATATACCCCAAAGCCCTATTCTCAAACAGGATTTCGTCCCCTGCACCAGGTTCTAAGATTTAGGCACCTCTTCACCTTCCCGCATTAACGTCGGCTACCTAAACCCTAAACCCTAAACCCTAAACCCTAAACCCTAAACCCTAAACCCTCAAGACCCTAAAGTCGGCTAGCTCAGGACCAAGAACCCCCCCAAATCCGAAACCCATGGGGGTTTCCTAAGGGTTTAGGGTTCGGGGTTCAGGGTTTAGGGTTTAGGGATTAGGGTTCAGGGTTTAGCGTTTAGGGTTTTGGGTTTCATAAGGTGTTTCATGATAAGGCTTGGGTCAGGGTCTTACAAGAGTTTATAGATTTCGACACGGTTCTGTTGTTGCTGGGGTTTGTGAGACACCACCTTGTTTTAGGTTCTCGTGCCTCCGTTCCACGGAAGGTTAATATAGGGGCCTTAATCATTGCCTATACCATGTTGGGGGTTCCTTATTAAAGTTATAGTATAACATACCCCAAGACCCTGTTCTGATTATTCAGGCCCCTACATTACCAGTGTTATAGGGCCGGAGGGTTGTATAGGGTTTTCGTGAAGGGGCTTTCAGTATTTAGACCAGTTGTCGGGCGTATATTATGGTTTAGGGTATGGGGTTTAAGGTTAAACTCATTAAACCATGCACCTCAGGTACCCTGTGCCGCGACTTCATCGTGGATGAAACCTACGACCACGTCTTTAGGTCTTCTGTTTATCGTGCAGCGGCAGCAGACTGGAACTAGGTTTTGTGTTACTGCATGTTGTTGAGGATTTGAGGTATGGAGACTTTCATGGGCTGGTGAGGTTTTGGGTAGTTTGAAGGTTTATTGGGCACAAGACATTTCAGTTTGGGACGGAGCTGTGAAGCTTCTCTAGCAAGGCTTCGGATGCTTCTGCTCGCCAGGTTACTACGGCACCTTCACGCGCACGTTTCTCACCATGTTTGAGACTGGACTTTGAAGTACCATACTTTAACACTTTTTTTTGGACCTGTCCCTTAAAGGAGCCATTATGAAATAACAGTCTATACTTTTTTCTCCCTGGCTACTTCAAAACCCAGGAGATCTTGTTTGCAAATTGGAGTCCACCTGCACGCGTGCTCGTGGAGAACTTCAGCAGCTCGCCACAAGGGAGGAGAACCGTAACCCCTAAACCCGAAACCCTTAAGCCCTAAACCCCTAAACCCTCAACCCCTAAAGCCTAAACCCTAGAACCCCTAAACCCTGAACCCCTAAACTCTACATCACTAAAACCTAAACCCTAGAACCCCTAAACCCTAAATCCCTAAACCCCAACTCCCTAAAGCCTAGAAACCCTAAGGCCTAAACCCCTAAACCGTAAACCCCTAAAACCTAAACCCTAGAACCCTTAAAGCCGTAAACCCCAAACCCCTGAACCCCTAAACCCTAAACCCCTAGAGCCCTAAACCCTAGAAGCCCTAAGCCCTAAATCCCTAAACCCTAAACCCCTAAAACCTAAACCCTAGAACCCCTAAGCCCTAAACCCCTAAACCCTAAACCCCTAAAGCCTAAACCCTAGAACCCTAGAAGCCTAAACCCTAAATCCCTAAACCATCATTCCCTAAACCCTAAACCCTAGAACCCTGAAGCCTAAAGCCTACAACCACAAAAGCCATACCAAACCTGCAGCGCTGTGTAGTCAGTGTAGTCCAGAGCCAGGCCTGGAGCTAACATCTGACTTTGGGGTTCAGGGTGTAGAGTTCAGGGTTTAGGGTTTAGGAGTTTAGAGTTTAGGGTTTCGGGTTTCGGGTTTAGGGGTTTAGGTTTTCGGGTTTAGGGGTGTAGAGTTTAGGGTTTAGGGTTTCGGGTTTAGGGGTTCAGGGTTTCGGGTTTCGGGTTTAGGGGTTTAGGGTTTAGGGGTTTAGGGTACTTATCATTGCAAGAAAAGGTGTGGAGCTTCCTCAGTCAGTTGCAAGCATGTTCGTTGGTTTTGCACGGTTTAGGATTTGGGGCCCGACTGATCTGGCAGTCTACCGGATGTCTGACAGCAAGCCGAGGTGAGTGGTTCTCGATTTTCTTTCTCATCTACAGGTGCGTTCTGGGGTTCGCCGTGCTTCTTGGACGATGTTCATTAGCCCTAAACCCTAAACCCTAAACTATCTGCCCTGTCGGTTCCATCCCCATGATGAAGTTACAGTGGCTGCCCTTGAAGTTCAGCCCTAGCCTAGAAACTGAACCGGGAAGTCTGAACAACAAATCCTGAGTCCCTAAACCCTAAACCCTAAACCCTAAACCCTAAACCCTAAACCCTAAACCCTAAACCCTAAACCCTAAACCCTAAACCCTAAACCCTAAACCCTTCGCTAAAGTCTAGACCCCTAGACTCCTAGACCCTAAACC